TCATAGAAACGACACTAACCTTAAAAAGCTGTGTCTAAAGGATTATAATCTCATAGCAATTATGTTGCGTTTGTTTCACATTATTGTTATAACTTTTTGTTTCATTCAATGATTATTATTATTATTATTATTACTTATCATACTGTGAGGCATAGTATGTCGGCTTACTTTACGGAAAGGGAGAGAAAAAAGTTGGGAAAACTTATGTTAAAATATTTTTCAAACACATATTCATCTATAATTAATTGTAAATATATTTATAATTTATAAATTAATATTTTATACGATCGTTAATAAGCAATATAAAAATTTATGAATGTACTTAAGTTTCCAAATAATTATAAAACACAAGCTTATATTATATAAAAATGATATTATTATAAAAAGTTACAATTTTAAATCAATTTTAAAAAGTAAAACTTGGGAATGTCTACAATTATAACCATTTTGTAAATTGAGAAAATTGAATTACTAAACTCAAAAATATAAATTATTGATTACAGTCATATTAAATATTATTATATATTAAATTAAATTACATAATTTGTACAATTGAAGCAAAACATGCTATAACCAGTTAAGTATTTTTGAATGTAAAGCGTTGCTAGTAGTTGATTAAAACTTAAATATCGGATTTATTACAGAATTTTATATTTAAATTTAGTTTATAAGTATATTTTTAATTAAATATTAATTTTATAAAAACATTTATAGCATAAAATTAAATAAAACTATTAGTTTTACTCAAAATCGGATAATCTATTCTATGGTTTGTGCTTCAATTACAGTTTACATTTTCTAATACTTAGCTGACTATAGCACAATCTCGCCCAATTATGTTTAATTATGAAGCACTTGCGAATATATTAAATATAAATCAAAATATTTAACAGAGATGAATTATTTGTAAAAATTAGTAGCTTGCATTGATAAATACTATCTTACTATCCAGAGTAAATTAAAATGTATTATTTTAAAAATTATAATTTTTATTAAATATTTAAAATCAAAGTTGATAGATGTTTGTTTTGTGAACCAGTTATTTATATTTTAAAAATTTCAATAATAAGCTATAATAAAAATCATATTAATTACAGTCTTAAGTCTGAAATAACCACGGCTATAACCAAAAAATAACCCTAACCCAGTATCATAATAATCAAAAACATTTTCCAACCACACTCATTTACCAGAAATAAAAAATATTTTTCATAAAGTTAGTACTAGTAATACCAAGCATCAATCACACACACATAAACTCAAAAACTCGATCAGGGTCACACCAAAAATAAACTACTCTAATATACCGTATCCTCACGCCTATACTCACATCATGTTATAGATCTTATAGCAATCAAATGAGCTATTCTTGAGTCGATTACTACACACTTTTTCGTGTGTTTTGAGTTCATCCTTGTGAACGAACGTCTGTTTGCAACGGAAGGGGCACTTAAACAGCCGGCGCTTCAGGTGCTCGTCCAGCGCCTGTTTGGTGGGAAACTTGCCGTAACACCGGCTACAGTCATACATCCAACGGTTACGCTCCTCGCGGGTGGGGGGAGGGGGAGGGGCCTCGACCTCGACTTCAGTGTCCGACATGTGATCCTTGAGTTTTGGACAGTTATCTATAAAATTAAAGTTTTTTTATTATTTTTATTTAACATGATTTTAGTAGTTAAGCACTTTTAGCCGGTTTAAAATTTTAATTTTATTATTATTGTAATAAATTAATTATTGGCACAAACTGTAAATTAATGTTTAATAAATAATTTATATTAAATTTAATTTATTTCATAGTGTACTGACTGTAGATCTAATTATAGCCTTTGGTTTATCTAGTTTAATTTTTATTTGATAGGTTCAATTGGATATCGTACTAACGGTCCCTTTATATAGTAACTATTTACTGGCTAAGTTTTATATTATCTAGAAATAATTTTAAAATTTTTGATGTACTTTATATTTAATTCAATTCAAACCATTTGTTTAATTAATCACCTATCATATAAAATTACTACATAACTAACTTAAAAATTACCTAATACATACTAATTAATTTAAATCATACACATTAAATAATATTTTGATTATAAAGCTATTCAAAAAGCAAAACAAAATAAAATCAAGGTAATTACGCTAATTAGTAATATTTCTCATATTAATCAACACATTAATTACCCAATAACTAATCAGGTTAACATAAATTTAATCAAAAATTAATATAAAATATGTTTGCTACTTACAATAGTGTTAAATAACTTCACAAATATATTATCCACACAAATGACTATAAAAATACTAATGAACTCACACACACTGAGAGCACTGGTAGTCTATGAGGCACTGGTATGTTTATCACATACAAGAATTTTTATTCTGTAACCCAATCCCAAAGAAAATAGCTACACGTACCGTACCTCCCGGCCCCCACTAGCGCCTACGCGCCTGTATGTTATTTCTATGTGCCTATGTATGTGTCGGTGCGATGTAGGTATGACCTCATAGACTACTACACTTTCTCCATTCATATGCAAAATACATACCAGTGCTCCCCTCATAAATAGGTTATTCTGGTTACTATTTTTAAATCTATTTTTGAGACTATTTTTTAATGTGTTGTTAAGTATTGAACGCACTGGTAGGTTATGTTAATACACTTTTTGGAGTAAGTTTTTGGTAAACAGTATTTGTAATAATTTTTGAATTAGTTGTAAACTTTTTTTTATGAAACATGGCTTTTTATTAGTAGTATTTTTTTATTTACAAAATATTAAATTAACCGGATTATCATGTAAGCCATAATATAAATGTTAAAAATTCTGTTATAATTAAAATATGAAATAAGAAATAATTACAGTTTTATAAAACTTTATTGATTTAAATAATTAGTAAAAATAAATAATTATACCAGTATGAAATAAAAATGTTTTTCAATTAGTTGAATGGTTTGATAAAACATGGATTATAACCATTGGTTATTATTGTTTATCTTAAATTTATAAATAACACTATTGCCACCCTGAACCAAATATTTTATTTTTACAAATATTTTATTAATATAAAATTGAATTAATTCTATTTACAGTTTTATTATAAAATTATGTTAACTAGTAAAAATTACAATATAAGCACTTTTATAAATGTATTTAACCAGAACAATTTTTAAATAATTTACAGATAATCTTGATTACTCCAATAATGATAGTATAATAAAAATTTGTAACAGTATAAACCTTATTATATTGTATTAATAAAACAAATTACTATATTTTTATATTATATAAAATTATTTTTTTAAAATGTTTTAGTTTAATAAAACAAAATGTAAAATTATAAAAACTTTTAAAACAAACTAAAAACAGGAAAATGAAAACTAATTTATTTTAAATTAATATATAATTCTTAAAAAAGTAAATAATTTATTCAAAACTAAAATAAATTGTAAAAATTTCATATTTTTAATAATTTATTACTTTTACTCATTTAGATTTTATTATCAGTGTACAATCGGTTTAATTATAAAGATTTTAAATTAATATGTAATATATTCAAATATAATTATTATTTAACACATGATAATTATTAAATTAGATACTAATAAACTTTTTCAATTTGTACAAAATAATAACTAAATAATAATAATTAACATTAAATTAGATTTTAATTATTATACTAAATTATTAAATTAAGGCTGGGTTTTAATTAATTAATTGCTAAAAAATAACCAACTAAAAATATTATCCAAAATTACTATAAACATTTGCTTGGTTATACTAAACAAATATTCATAATTTATATTACAGTTTACTTTAAGTATTTTAATTTAAAAATTAGTTTAATTAAAAATTTGTAGTTTATTTAATTAAAGAAGTATATTCATTGCAGAATAAATATATTTTTTAAAATTTAACTCGATCACTTCTCAATTTAAAAATTATTTTCACAAATATTTATAATACTCATTTAAAATGTTAAAATAATATTACAGTTTTATTAAAAGCTTTTCAAATTATCATTAGTTTAAAATTGATTATTTTACTACAATAATTATTATTATACTATTAGTAAAAACAAATTATCGTAAATATTTAGAATATTTATAATGACTTTTTATAATTTTAAATAATTTTATTAATCTTGATAAATTAATTCAACAATTCTTATTCAATATTATTCTCTAATAAATATTTACATGAGTACCATAAAACTTTAAATTTCAAAATATACCTTGGGCAACAATTCAAATAAATATTTTAGAAATATAATCTTTTTGAATACTCAAGTAATACTCTATTAGTAAGCTATAAAAAGCTCCAAATAGACATTATGTTTGTTTTATAATACCAGATATCTAAACCCTTTATGACTTAATATATTCACAAAACAATTTGTGACAAATAATTAAATTATACGGCAATTAAATTATGCAAACAAAAACAAAACAATATATATATTTGTGTGCCTAGCTAACAACTAAACCAAAAATAATTACATTTCAGTGAAAAATATCCATAAATAAAAATTTGCATAAGAATTAAATTTCACAAATGAATGGCAATTGTAATAACAAACAAAACAAAAAATCATTTAATATACGAAAATATTTTAATACAAAAAACTCAGTTTGAAAATACATATCATATTTAAAATAATAATGATATGAATGCATAATAAATGGCTTTTGCTTTTACCCTTGAATTACGAAATCAAAAGTTTTTTAAGCGCTTTATAAAAGTCTTATATTATATTAAACATGCATTTCATTAAAGCCATTGAAAGTGCAAACCTAATATATACAGAGCACTGGTATGTCCTAATAGTTGCCAGTGCTTAAGGAGGAGACTGGTAGCACAGGACAGGTAGTTGTCAAACATCTCATTCGCTATACATTTCCTTTTACTCTCGTTTTATATAATACTTATCAAAACTATTATGTATTTTAAATGCTTTTTAATTTCTCACTGAAAAACTTTTTTCTCGCAATATATTCATCACTAGTTTTAATCACTCAATGGTCTTAAATATATGTATGTTTTTCTCATATAATAGTAATTATTACGATATTATAGTTAAACTCCTAAACCCATGAATTCAAGGCCTGATTGTAAGCCAAACTAAACATTAAAAAAAGTTTTTTGTTTCACAAAAATATTTTTAATATATATTTTCCCATCACTTGAGAGTCGAGTGAAAGTCAGATAACAAACACTCGCTTAATATTAATCACGTTTTTCTGTGTGTGTATTGTATTGTGCTGTATATCCATTCAGAACATACCTGTGCCCTCACACACACATACCTGTGCTTTTCAATAGGGGAACGGGAGATTTATTAGTGTATTAAAAGTGTATTAATTTTTAATCATAATTAACGTAACGATGATTTACGCGATACTTACGACTCTAACGTTACTTTGCGTCACATTTACGGCAATTAGTGGACAGCACTCCAGACGTAAGTATTTTTTGAAAAATATTTATTTATATTTTTAGTAAATATTTAGATATTTGGCAAAATTTATTGTTTTATGTGTGTTATTGAATTGCCTACTAATAGACCTTGGTGGTTAAAAATAGATACACTCATAAAAGTTTTTCAATATTTATTTTGTTAAGTATAATTAAAAATGTATTGTTTATGCTAGAATAAATTTTAATTAATAACCTATAAATAACTTTTGTGTTTATTATAGTACACGTAAAATGTTTATATTTATTGAGACCTTGTTATTATTTATGCAGTTTTATGAAAATAAGGTATATTTTTATATTATATAAAATTAATACAGATTACAAGCTAGATTATTTATTATTTCATAATTAGGTATTGATATTCACAGATAATACAACTGTGAACGGTTTACGGGTACTAATTAACCTAGTTAGTTTCAATAAATTATTTGCCCGCTAATCTATTGTCATAAAAATACTTAATCTCACAGTAATTACTTAATTTCAATATTAATAATAAATAAATAATATACAGTTTTAAAATGTAATTACACTTTTTATTTATTATACTTTCCATTCATTTATGTTATGATTAAATGAGAGTTAAATAAATGAAATTTATTTTTGTTTTACTCACAAAACAAACAAATTTTTCCGAAATAAACAAATAAAATGTATTTAATTTGAAATAATTATCAAATTTTGTTGGTTTGTTTTGCGTAGCAAATAAACATAAAATATTATTTTTTGTTATTAATGTTACTAGTACAGAAATGTTTATTACACAATAGCGTGAGATATAAACGTAATTTAAATATTTAATACATTTTAAAGTTTAGTGCAAATTATAGGTTATACGACAAAAGTGCACATTTGATGGGACAGGGATGATAGATAGGCATCTCATTATTTTTGCACCAAAATAAGTGCTTTTGCACCAAGCGCAATCTATTTTTAGATGCACTGAAATGTTTCACAACTTTTTAAAATTAAAAAATAATTTATTAAAGTCTTTAAAAATATTTAAAGTTAATTAATTTTTGTATATTAATATTATTGAATAAGTTACAAATTAATTAAATTACTAAATTCATATTTAATTTTATAAAATTTTGTAATATTATTACTTCAGTTATGTAAATTATTAAAATTTCAAAAACTGTATTATAATCTATAAAGTTAATTTAATATCTGGTATATACAACATAAATAAATTATTGGTGTATATGCATACACTCCTTATAATTCACTATAAATATATAATTATTATTTATTTAAAAATATGAATAATCATATAAAATTTAAAGCAACATTTTTTAGTGTCATGTAATTACTTATTCATAATATTATAAATATCTTACAAACTAATCATTGGATTCACAGAAAATAAAACAAATATTTCTCAGAAAATATTGCTTTGAATTTAATTTTAGAAATAATTTCAAAAGTGATATCACGTTTATTAAATGCACTAAAAACACTAGAATATTATCAAGGTTAATCCAATTAAGGTGATTTATTTGAACATATAATTTATGAGACTATTATAATTCAAACCACATTTATTGCTAATAAATGCAAATATAAATTATTACGGTTTATTAGCTATAATTAACAAAAATATAAAAACATTTAAATTTTATAATATATTAATTTCAGGTTATTTTGAGAAACAACAGCCAAAGTCACAGGACCTACAGGAGGGCCCGTATTTCTACGACGTTGAAGCCATAAATGTAAGTTACCTTGATTAAATAAGCAAAGTTATATTAAATATAAAGTTTCCAAACGATTCATAATCCAGCTAAAAATTATAATGTGTTCATCATATTAACATTAATTTTAAAAAGTTCAAATATACAGTTCATTAGTATTATAAGTACTTAACCAAAACCATTGCATTTTGAATAAAAAGTTTTAAAAAGTTGACAGTATCACTATTCAATATAAAATAAATAATTTAAAATTAAATATTATTACAGATAAAATATCTAAACAAAGTTCACACTAAATTAGGAGTTTTCAAAATTATTTCATTATTATGTATTTTGTTTTATGAAATATATAAATCAATTACATAAGTATCAATTGAGATAAATATAAATACATAATTCAATAATGTCAAAAAAAATAATTTAAGTATACACATTAATTAGTGTAATTCCTTATTAATTGCAAATAACAAATTATTTTAAAAATGAATTTTATATTTCAAATTATATGGTCAATTATATCACCCATTTTAATACATATTTAATTCATTTTTAATATAATCCTGATATAAAATATGAAATTACAGTTTGAAAAATTAACTCACCTATCACATTTTACTCTTAGGAAAGACGTACAGAATTCGGTATCCATCCCATGATATTAGGCCGTCGATCGCTACGCCAAATGTCCGGTGAAGAGATGTCTGACCAGGAACTGTACCCCTTGTTTGAGGCAGCTAAATGGGCACCCAGTCACTTTAACACACAGGAATGGCGTTTTGTGTACGCTAAACGCAACACAAAACACTGGAAAAAGTACCTTGCACTTTTGTCGCCCGGTAACCAGGAGTGGGCTAAGGACGCCGCGGCGCTGGTAGTAATGGTGAGCAACCGGTTCAGCACATATAAGGGCAAGAAGTCGTTCGTGAGATCCCATTCCTTCGATGCCGGCGCCGCTTGGATGGCACTGGCACTGGAGGCGGCCTCCCGGGGGTATGTCGTGCACGCTATGGCCGGCTTTGACTACCCAAAGGCCGCCCGCGCTATACGTATGCCTAATAACGGCGAGTATTCCGTGGAAGTGATGGTCGCCATAGGGAAGCGCCAGCAGTATAGGGGACGGACGGGTGAGAAGACATCCGATAGGAAATCCATCGACGAGTTTGTGGCGGAGGGCTACTTTAGTCCCAGATTTTGATCAGGGCAATTTTTGCAAGGGTTAACTATGTTTGTGGTTATAGTATAGGGACTTATTTAGTGTATTATTTATAAGTTAGAAATAGTATTTGTAGCATGCTATTTTTGTAAAGTATTCTTTTTGGTAGAAAAATAAAGTGGCATCTTAATATTTCAAAATAATATTTGCATTCCTAAACTGTAATCATTATTTTAGCTTGTTTAATTATTCTATGATTGTATTAATAAATTTAATTATTGGGATAATAAAGAAGAATTACTCTAATAAATAAATTTTAGTATTGGGCATATCGAGTGTTAGCCTTATGTTAATAAAATAAATTTTTATTCAATAAATTAACTTATCAAGCAAATGGTTTAGCCTCCCGGGGGTATGTCGTGCACGCTATGGCCGGCATTGACCACTCAAAGGTCGCCCGCGCTATACGTATGTCTAATAACGGGGAGTATTCCGTGGAAGTGATGGTAGCCATAGGGAAGCGCCAGTAGTCTAGGGGACGGACGGGTGAGAAGACATCCAATTGTCTTTAGTGTAGGTATTTATTTAGTGTATTATTTATACATTAAAAATAATAAAATATTGTATTTATAGCATGCTATTGTACATTGTGTAAAGTATTCTTTGTGAAATGCAATGTATGACTAATTTCTAAATGTTAGGTACAGTACGTGATGGCTGCACGTGTTTTAAGATATCAATCACAGATAATGTGTTTCATAACAAAGTATATGCATTACCAGAAAACTCGTTATTATATCCATGGCCTCATATATTACTTTTAGCAATATTTTATTCAAATATCTCTAGTAATTAGTTATAGTATTATTTATTTATTTAACCAATTATTTGAACTTTATTACAATTAAGTTTAAAATAATTATTAAAATAATTCATCAACACACAATTTACAAAAAAAATCTATATTATTTTAACTGAATATTGAGTTGTGCAATAAAAGTAAAATTATTATTAAAAGATAAACCCCTTCCTTACAAACAGACCAAATATATTGCGATGAGTTTGTAAAGTTATTCAACGATTTATTTGCGATGATAAAAACACTATAGAATATATTTTATTATGTTATACTCTTTTGATAGCTATATATAAATACTTGCGATTTATAACATTAAAAATATTTCCTCTTCATTTGCTTGTGCATTTATTTTAAGACTTGTTTATTAATTTGATATAATGTCTCTATTTGAACAAGGTGAGTTATTTACAAAAATTTACAAAAATGCAATTGAGGTTTAAATAGAGTTGTTAAATAAGAATATTAATTTAAATAAAAAAGGTTTTGTAATCTTTTGTAAAATGTGTTTATTAAATGTTGACTAATAAATAAAAATCAATACATTAACTATGCTCACATACATGTATGTCGGAATTTAACTATTTAGGGTTAATTATAAGCAAGTGAAAATTAAGTTAAAGTATAGGGTTTATTTGATGAGTCAATATTAATTCGACTTTACAATAATAAAGTCTAATTCATTTCAAAATGTTAACCTTATTATGAACAATAGCCAGGGACACTATGATGACTAATGATGAGGTCGTCCTTCAGTTGGAAGTCACCGCTGAAAGTAATGGCCAAATGTTGAACGATAACCTAAGGGTGCCTGTGGCCGGTAGGTGGGGGCGTTTGGGTAGTCTGTTCAAATGGATATGGGAACAGAAACGGGATATTATACAGAATGTTTACTATCTGTTTAGAGTTGGACAATATATTTATGATTATTATACATAATTTGAACAATTTTTGTTTTTATAAATTATTTTTATGCTAAATATGAATTTAAAAAGTTTATTATATTGTGATTGAATTTAAGTCATTTTATTAATTCAGTTCACAACGCACTAGTCTATTAGTCTAGTATTTCGATTGTAAGATAGATTATGTGCAATCTTTGTTATAATTAATTGATAAATAATTATAACACTTGAATATCCATATCTAATATTTATACCAAACATCGAGTTTAGTTAGATAAACATAAATAATAATAGTAAATAAAACCCTTATATTTATACCTAAAACCGATCCGGGTTAACTACTAGTCTATTATAGCTATCTAATGATAATGAGATAAAAAATGCCGCATAAACTCATCAAAGCACACCTGTATTATATCTAATGACATAATTAACTACCTGTGTACATTTGCGAAACTTATAATTGCATACGTATTTTTAGTGTTAAGCACAGGTAGATAAGGGGTCTGCAGCCAAGTATTATGATAGGGTAGGGCTTAAGGCACAGGTGTCATACGATAAGACATAGTGTACGTACTTTTCCATAAGTTGGGGGTTTATTCAACTGATAGCCCGTAGTGTTTAGACAATGAATAATACTGTTTACTACTAAACAATTGCAAACATTTTAATACATTTTTGCACTGAAACTCATCATTAAATTTAATATTCTTTGGAAAATAAGATTACATTTAATTTGTTAAGAAATAGAGAGAGAGAGAGAGAGAGAGAGAGAGAGCAAAGTATATCTCATTTAGTGCTAATAATACCTATAAATATAACAAATAAGACACAAAACAATTGTATTTGATATTTATCCAGTTAATACAGGAATTTTAAAGGTCGCATGGCGCTCTCAGATCAAACAAGTAAACAGGGTAATTTAAGTTTGTATCACATACCATTCCCCTAGACATAGTATTTTAGTATAAATAGCGATACAATTTTTAACCCTGAGTCCAAAAAGTTTTTTCTGTCTGACAATTAGTCTTGAAAACAGTTTATGTTAACTATAATAATATAAAACTTATTATTATTATATTGTAATGTCATATGATTTTCACATTTAATACATAGTATAATATTTTATTTAAATTTACAATTGTACCACTGGGTCACATTATTTGCTCAATTTGATATTAATTGCCGTATTAATAAAATAATTTATCTACCTAAATAAATCATCTATATAAATAGTAAACTAACATGGATGACAAAGAGAAAATCATCGAAAATAAGCCGGCTAAAAATGAGCCGGTACTCAAAGCCTTTGTCCAAAAGGTGAATAGCTTGAAGGGGTCATTTCAAAAAGTATTGGCCCATAAGGTTAACAGTACGGAAGGGGACATTCAAAAAGTGCTACAAAAGTCCCAATTGGGACGTACGGTGTCGGGAAAGTCGACGATTAATACGAAGTCAAAGGGCGGTAAATCCCTCACCTTTAAGACCAAGTTTTTCTATAGTATGGGACATATCTATAATTTGAATAATTTTATAAACTTTTGTAAATATATGTTTGTTTAAAGTAGTCACAGGAATAACAAACTAGGCATTAACTCTGTTCTCTCATGAATTAATTTATCTTTACTTTACTAATTGTTGCAGTCGTCCTTCAGTTGGAAGTTACTGCTGAAAGTAATGAGCCACTGTTGACCGATAACCTACAGGTGCCTGCGGCTAATAAATGGTGGCGTTTGGGTAGTGTGTTCAGATGGATATGGGAACAGAAACGAGATATTATGCAAAATGTTTACTATCTGGTTACAGTTGGAAGATATATTCATGATTATTTTAAATAATATTGGCATTCTTGTTATTATTCTTATTCAAATTATAATGAATACTGTATGAATAAAAAAATAAAAAATAATTTAAAATATACTACTTTGGCCAAATCTATCTGGGACAGGAAAAAGTTAAATAAGTTTTTAATGGATAATCCAATTTTTAATCTGTTTTCACCAAAATGTAGCTGGATAATTAAGTAATAAAATGGTATAGTATTTGTTATATTAATTCATTGGGATAAATTAGTAATTTAATTTCAAAGTTCTACCAACATTTCTCATTGAAATTACATGGGGAATTTTCTTCATTTTACATAATTTGCTCTTAACTGACTAAATCTTTATATAACTGTATCTTGGTCATTTTTATTGCGATTTTTAAAATTCCAGCATCGTTCTATTTGTCATTAAAGTGCACTTTTTATTATGTTATGAATTTTTAAAATTTGACAAAAATGTGTTTTTAAATTTTTAACCATAAGTCCTAGAAACAATCTGAATACCTCATTTGAAAGAGCACAAAAAACCAAGCCAGATAAGAATTTAAAATTTATTTTAAATAATCATTTCAATAGGAAAATTAGTTAAATTTATCTAAACATGGTACGGTTATGATTTGTACTATAACTTTATTAAATTTACAAAATTGTATTTACAAATGTGTATTTAAAAACTGACCTGGACTAGTTTTTTGTGCTCTTTCCAATGAGGTATTCAGATTGTTTCTAGGACTTATGGTTAAAAATTTAGAAACACATTTTTGTCAAATTTTAAAAATTCATAACATCATAAAAAGTGCACTTTAATGACAAATAGAAAGATGCTGGAATTTTAAAAATCGCAATAAAAATGACCAAGATACAGTTATATAAAGATTTAGTCAGTTAAGAGCAAATTAAGTAAAATGAAGCAAAATCCCCATGTAAGTTTAATGAGAAATATTAGTAAAACTTTGAAATTAAATTACTAATTTATTCCGAGGATTTAATATAGCAAATACTATACCATTTGATTACTTAATTATCCAGCTACATTTTAGTGAAAACAGATTTAAAATTGGATTATTTATTAAAAACTTATTTAACTTTTTCCTGTCCCAGATAGATTTGGCCAAAGTAGATTGTTTAAGTAAAATATTTTAAAATTATCAATTGTTTTTATTAACCTTAAATTATTAAATTTAAATTTTTATAAATTTTTTGATACAACTTTGTTTGATTTAATTTAAAATTTTAATAAAAAATTGTATTTACGTCTATTATTGTTTATTTATAATATTGATAAATTTTTGTAACAGTTATAAATGTTAGGAGTCTTATAGTCTAATGTAGGGGCATACAGATAAAAAGCTATTAAAGTCTCCGACTCACTTATTAATATGAGTAATAAGAATATTAGAATATATTTTATTATATAATACTCTTGATAGCAAATTGCTATGTTAGAAATCTCATATTAGTTATTATAGGGCTAGTTATGAACAGATAGAGCTATTAAAGTTTCCGACACACTGTTATTAATATGAGTAATAAGAATTTAATCATATTAGAAAGTTTGAAAGGGTCAATGCCACTAAATCTATAACGCTTTCCCATCA